TTAATATCCTTAATGTAAATATCTTTATTATAACGTGTATATAGCTTATAAGGTGTATGTATAGCTCTGGTGGCCTAGTGGGTAAGGATTTGTGCTGTCTAAAGCTAGGAAGTCTGAATTCACTAACTGCTCCTCTGGATAAAGATGGGCAATCTCTTCCCTTGTAATTTACAGTCTCTGAAAACTCACTGGAGGGTCAGTTTTGAGTCAGTCCTGATTTCACAACAGTAAGTTTGAGATTCTTTCGTTTAAAAATGTATTATTATTCTATTTTATATTCTATAATATGGAAGTGTGTGTATACATAAATGTACTATAAATAAAGGCACTCCGGTGGCCCAGTGATAAGAAGCTGTGCACTTTGTTCAAATCCATTATTTTCTCTGTGGGGAGAGGATGAGCAATCTCCTTTCATGTGATTTACTGCCTCTGAAAACCAGCTGGAGGTTCAGCTATGGGTTGGTTCGGACTCCAGGGCACACAGCAACACCAGTTTATAATACATACAAATATATTCTTTCCTTTGTTCTCTCAATATATGTATGGAGATATAGATATATATATATATAAAATTGTGCCTCCCAAAATTCTATGTAACTTGACAGGGCTACAATTATCAGTGGTCTGGCAGATAAATAACTATGTAATGACTCCCTAAGATATGATATAATGTCACCAGTCAATAAGATGTAAGGGGTCTAGGGTGGAATGCAGCACCAGTACTTGAGTAACAACACTGATGTGATCTCATACAAAAGGATTTCCCAATGTCAAAGGCTCTGTCTGTAGAAGTGGATAAAGAAGGAGGGATGGATCTCAGGACAACTAAGACAGAAGAACTAGGAGCAGTGTGGCCTTTGGGATTGGGGTCCTTGCACTGAGAACTTCTTAGACACACAAAGACTTCAGCGACATGGAGATTAACAAGCCCACAGATGCTGAAAGGAGAAAGGACCTTTGGCCAGGGATGACACAGTCATAAAGCCTTCCCATAGATCCGGCACCCTACAGTCAGCCTTGTTTTGGCTGTTGTGAGGTGCCCATCAGGTTAATGATGCCCTACAGCAACTCTGTGGGGCCACAGCTCTGAGGCTTGCCCTGTCTTGGCCATCCTCAGTCTCTGCTATGCTCCAGTCCACTGCTGCCCTCACTGTGTCAATCCATCTTGTTGAGGGTTGTCTTCTCTTTCTCGGACTCTTTATCTTTCCCAGCATGGCGTCTTTTTCTAATGATTGACTCCTGACAATTCGCCTAAAGTATGTGAGACAAAGTTTCACCATTTTTTGTTTAACACTTAGAGCCTCCTAAACTGTAAGAAAGTAATCTTCTGTTTATTCTCTGCCATGATCCCAGCTCATAACAACATCCCACCGTGATTTTTTTTCTTTTCTTTTTGAGGCTGTAAATCATTAACTAGAGGGGAATGCTCACTCCTCATAGAATGGCTGATGGATTCAAGCCACCAGTCTTTGCTTAGCAGCTTAACATGCTATGCCTCCTTACCTACCAGGGCTATAGATATAAAATCACAATTTGTATTTCTTTGGGTCCTGCATTTAGAAGAATTCCTGTGTGTTAGAAGCCTAGTAGCTCACTTAGCATTGTAGATAATGAATACTGAACTGGAATGAGGAAAGAAGGGCATTGTGAAAGGAATGGATGGTTGGAAACCATGTGTATGACAACTAATAGTCTTCTAAGGGGAATGATAGGGAAAGGGGAGTGAGGAAAAATGTACACAAATGAACAAATAATTAAAAAGAAAAAAAACTGAACCACAAAAAAAAATGTCTATTACTTTTGCTGATTCCCTTATTCACCCACCGCAGTGGTGTCAGAACCAGTGGGGTGTTTGGAGGCTGTAAATCTCAGCTGGGACAAGATTCCCCACCTCACTCTCACAGTGGATCTGAACTACAGAGTTGCATTCATTGCCTACGAGCTGGCAGCACAGCTATGCCACTACAGCTCCCATCTGCCAATGAGTCTTCCGTGTTATCGATTCCAAATATATTCCAGAAAAAAAGGGGAAACATTGAGGTATTTTAAGATGTAAAATATTGGCTCTTCTTCTTACTTTCTAAACAACCATATATTACATAAAAGGAAACACGTGATGACTTATGCCAAAGTCTAATGATTATTTAAATAGTTAACTAGTTACCGATAGACTGGGCAGAATGAAACATCTTCACATTCTCTCTCTTCAAATAAGGTATCTGGGCATTCTTGACCTCCATTAGCTGCTTCTTGGATAATAATCCTGTATCGAGACTGTTTTACTGTGGCATTTCCTGAAGTAAAGGAAAAATAAAATCATGTGATTCTTCCGGTGGATGTAAGTTATACTGGATACTGAGGCAGTGATAGAAGAATTACAAGGAAAGAGGTTAAGTAAGCACATGGGAAAGAACAATTTGGGGAAAGATTTTACTTCCATGACATGAATGAGTGGGGGTAAGCCATGGATCTAGAAGTGATTCATAGCTGGCCCTTCAGTGGCTGTTCAGAGGCTATAAATTACACAGGATGATACTGCCTATCTTTCTCCCTTGGAAAAGCCGGTGGATTTGAGCACCGTTTTATGAGCTACACTTAAGAACTGTGATTTCTAATTTATGTATTCTGCAATACAAAGACTGTTTTATATTATGTCTCATTATGTTTTAGTGTAGAGTCTAGTTAGAGTTCACATAATCCACCCCTCTGTCTGTTTTGTTAGATTTCCTGTGGCTCTGCTTCTGGAAACTGTATCACTAATACTCAGATAGCAACAGGGTCACTCCTAGGAGCTTCCAGACTGACTAGAAGTCATTCTAGTTCATTCTACTTCAGAACAGCATCCAATGCAAATGCCAAGAATCACAATAGCTTGATCTGCACTGATTACAAGGACTACACAGGACAAAGAGGAGTATGATTCCATTGTGCTGGGGTTGCCATGAGTCCTGGCCAATTCAATGGCGGATAACACAATAGTACTTTCTGTGACATAAGAGTCACATGACCTCATTTGTTGCTCAAATGTTGCTTAAACTTAAACAACAGATCAGGGACTTGAGATTCTACTAACAATTAAGTCCTGAGGATAAATGTCTTATTCCTCATAACCTAGGACATATGTATGCTATTGGAAATCAGGGAATAAAGTGGGGGGGGGAAGTGTATGCTATTTGCTATTGAAAAGAAGTGAACCAACCAACAAGTACTTAAAAAGACAAGTGATTTGTGAAAAATAACATATTAAAATTTGTAAATAAATCCATATAATTTTTTTAAAAGACAATATACCTATACTTGGACCAAGAGGCAGTCGTCAGAACAGAGCAGGGCAACACTGCCTGGTTCAAAATTGAGAAGGGTGTACGCCAGGGATGTGTCCTATCTCCATACTTTTTCAACCTGTATGCAGAGCAGATTATCCGAGAGGCAGGGCTCTATGAGGAGAAGCGTGGCATTAGGATTGGTGGACGATCTATCAACAATCTGCGTTATGCAGATGACACAACCCTGCTCGCTGAAACTGAGGACGACCTCATGCACTTACTGCAGAGGGTCAAGGACTGCAGCCTTCAGTATGGACTGAGGCTCAATGTCAAGAAGACAAAGATTCTCACCACTGGACCAATTGGTAGCATCAGGATGGATGGCGAAGACATTGAGATTGCTCACAGCTTCAGTTTGCTCGGCTCCATGGTCAACACTCTTGGCATCAGCAGCCAGGAAATAAAAAAACGTATTGCGATGGGAAAGTCTGCTGTTAGGGACCTCTCTAAAGTACTCAAGAGCAACGGTGTCTCTCTGGAGACCAAGGTGCACCTGATTCAGTCCATAGTGTTTGCAATCACTTGTTATGCATTAGAGAGTTGGACAATGACTAGGGAGGATAGAAGGAGAATTGACGCCTTTGAGCTGTGGTGCTGGAGAAGAGTATTGAATGTTCCATGGACAGCCAGGAAAACAAACAGATCCATCCTAAAGAGGATTAAAACAGGCTACTCTTTGGAGGCAAGGATTCTGGGGCTTTGTCTGACATACTTTGGACATGTTGTAAGGAGAGACAGGTCCTTGGAGAGGGACATCATGCTTGGTAGGGAGGAGGGACAGCACAGGAGGGGAAGACCCTCTATGAGGTGGATTGATTCAGTGACTGGGGTAATTGGGATGGGTGTGTCAGAGGCAATGCGATTGGCACAGGATAGAGCAGGGTTTAGGGCTGTTGTACGTAGGGTCGCTATGAGTCGCAAACGACTTGACGGCACACAACAACAACAACATATAGCATGGAGAGTCTAGAGAGCATATGCTGCATGAAATAACTCAGTCACATAAGAACAAATACTACATAAGGGCCACTAATGTGAAAATAGGATAACTGAGCAAGATATGTATAAATGTTCAAAAGGGTAAAGGGAAGGAAAGAAGTGAGCAGAAAAAGGAGGAAAATCACTAGAGAATAAAGAAATAGGCAAGAAGCAATAGGGACTTGAAAAGATGCAGTGATAATAGGCATTGATCAATAGTGATTATATGAAGTACAATGTATATGAATGATTGTATAAAAAAATTAATATAAATGGCGGGAAAGACAAGCAATGTTCACTTCAGAACGCTGGGCATTCTCTGTGTAATCTTTACCTTCTTCTGAATCAACAACAACAAATAAAAGTCCATTAAAGTGGTTTGCAATTGTTTCAATTATCATGCTCGAAGGCATTAAAGGACGTATGTGAAAGCAAAATTGTAAACTACCAAAACCTACAATTACGTGCAAATAAAAAGATCACAAGTGCTTGTAAGACATTGCAGACCACAGGAAATGTCAAGTTCAGTGTGAGGCGAGTGCAGAGTGCAGAGGATGAGAAAGCATTTCTGAGTTTAGAAACCAAAATGCAAGGAAGGAGGCAGCCATTATCCTGGGCCTTGAAGGTTGAATCGAGAGAGGGGTGGAAATGAAGGAGATTATGTCAGACCAAAGAGATTGAATAAAGTCAGAGACAAAAGTGAACATCCCACTATCGTCGGATGAGCATAAGGACTCTGGGTGGGGGTGCGGTGGAGGGGTGTAGAAGCAGAGAGATGAGGATATGTAGGTGGGGGGAGGGCGGGATTAATCATGAAGTTGTACAATTTGATGAGGGGGGTGAAGAAAATTGGAAGAATCTGTTCTGGAAAACAATGTATTCGAATTTTATAAATAAACCCGTATAATTTTTTAAAAAAAGAAAAAATTATGTAAATTTTGTTGAGGGATCATTCTCATTGATTTTCTCAGTTATATAATGATGTAGACCCTCCGTTAAGGTCTCAGAAGTTGCAAACCCCACGGGAGATGATAGAGCAGCTCAATGATTCAAATCACTTGCCTTTGAGTTGGCAGTTCAATTAATTATCCACTAGGAAGCTCTTTGGCCTAGTGGTAAAAAGCTGTGTTGCAATCCAAACCAGGCTGTGGTTCAAACCACTCTGCAGCTCCCCCCGGGGAACAACCATCCACCCACCAGGTCAAAAGAGCTCCTTCTTTTGTACGCTAGGTCATTTTGCAGTTCTATTTTTATGGGCCCTTCTTCTGAAGCAAGAAGTTCAATTTAAGGACCGTCAGAAGATAAAAAGAAGAGGGGAGAGGGAACATGATACGGAATGATACAACTACATTTGGAAACTCTGTGTGTGTGTGTGTGTGTGTGTGTGTGTGCGCGCGCAGAAGTGTGCACAATGAGGGGATAGGAAGTAGCATAAAGCATGGAGAGAGAGTATGAAGAATTGTGAGCAGACAGTATAGGGGAAAAAATGGAATGAATTGATAGATTTGGTACAGGTAATAGACCTGATAATAATAAATTTTAATTTCTACAAATGTAGTAAAGTAAGTAGAAGAGAACAGAAATAAAATGTGTCCTTTATTTAAACTAATAAGTGAACACGTATACTGAAAAAAATCACCTGTATAAAATGGCTTCCAATGAGAAGCAGTAGACTCTCCACCCCTGCCTTTCTCCTCAGAGAGAACTGCCCCAACTGTTTGCTATATAGTTCTGCAGTTAATTTTAAATTTATAAATATTATGCTATGACACTACTTTTCATTTATTAGTTTTAAATATCACCTCTTGGTTTCTGCTTTAACCGATGAGAACATACCTTTTAGGATATTTTACATATAATTGCATCACTAGTACTCCTCAATTGTTGTTGTTGTTGTTACGTGCCGTTGAGTCGCTTGCAACTCCGCTCTGTCCTGTGCCAATCGCACTGTCTCCGACACTCCCATCCCAATTATCCCAGTCACTGAATCAATCCACCTCATAGAGGGCCTTCCTCTCCTGCGCTGTCCCTCCACCCTCCCAAGCATGATGTCCTTCTCCAAGGACCTGTCTCTCCTCACAACATGTCCAAAGTATGTTAGACGGAGCCTCAGAATCCTTGCCTCCAAGGAGTCACCCGGTTTACCCCTTTCCAGGACAAATCTGTTTGTTTTCCTAGCAGTCCATGGTATTCTCAATACTCTTCTCCAGCACCACAGCTCAAAGGCATCAATTCTCCTCCTATCCTCCTTGGTCATTGTCCAACTCTCTAATGCATAAAAAGTGATTGCGAAGACCATGGCCTGTATCAGACACACCTAATGTGACCTCAGCCTTACCTTCCGATCTCTTGGGTCACACTCCTCTTTCCTGTCATCTCTCAGACAAGCCTCTGCAGGGTCCTCTGGTGCGCTCTTCCTCTTCGTGGTATCTACCTCCCTGCTAAGTGAATTAATGGCTGCCTCTACTGTTTAATCAGTTTCTCTGCTTTTTCATTCTTATTCATCAAGGTCCCTTTTCTTAAGCGCATCTAACTTTCACCCACTACTTATTTCTCTTCTTATTTCTGACAGAGACTTCTGGCCCACATTGCTGTTGAGTGGATACTGACCCACAGGGACTCCTGGAGGACAGTGTCCAACCGCACTCTGGGCTTCCTGCCCCAACTTTCTTCCTCAGAGGAGCTGGTGGGTTTGAGCTCCTGATCCTTTAATGAGCTGTCAAAGGTGTTTCAACAGTGCACCAGCAGCACTCCTTGCCAAGGGCTTCACTTTTAAAATTTCTTTTCTATCATTTTTATGCTATCTTGAGAAGGAGAGGCGATCAAGACATGTATGCATGTAATGATCTTGAGCTATTAAGAAGAGGTACAAAGTATTTTCCATTGGCTCCTGCCACATGTCCTCTTTGCCTTTTTTTCCCAACCTGCTTCTTATAATAAGAAGACTGAATTAAGAACTCCCTTGGCCACTAGTTCCTACTTGGGTTTGT